TTACCAGCCATCTCCAGTGAAGCCAAGAAAACCAGTTAGGCACCCTAGGCATTTGTGAAAATTTGTCTATGATATAATGGATATTGTCCAACTGTACTTGAACAGTCTGAGAGAAATCAGACAAATTAAAACAACCCATTCCTGGGAACTGTTCACATCCCATATGTTCTTTTAACCGTAGATAGTCTGTAGTCGTAAGATTTTGGAGCGCTACAACTTGCTCTTCTCCTAATTCTTGGCAAGATAGACCTTTTTTAAAGTACATTTTTTGCTATAGATTGTTGCCCTTGGTGACCATTGCTAGTGATATTCCTTAAAATCAAGGTGAAAATTATGCACAAAATATGAGCTGTATCATCAATAATGTATCACAATGTATCATAAAATGCATTATTTTTAAGAGATGTAATTTATTATTCACTATTCATCTCAGTTCAGTGCAATTTTAAAGATAACTTTTTCTTTCAAGTCACATAAAATCCATTTTCTTTCATGAAAAACTTAACATAGCAGATGTTCTAACCATGTTTCTTATTGTTCATCTTAGCTTTTGAAGAAAGAAGATAAAACTGTTCCTGTCTATTCTGATGGCTTAAAAGAGGTAATTACAATAGATTTATAGGTTAATAGGGGTGAATGTACCTTCATAGTACATTTTTCAGTTCAAATAGGCGTATATTTTTCAAGAGTAAGTTATTTTAATACTTGCTTCCTTATCTGCAAAATGGGAATAGTAATAGTATATATTGAGTTATTTTGAAGTCAAATGAGATAATTTACATAAATCATGTTACATTGCCCCTGCCTGGCACAAGTAAGTATCATGGTGCCAAAAGTACATGTGATTGTGCACACATGAATATATATTTTAAACTTTTATCTAGAAGTAAAATTTTGGTATAATCCAGCTAGGTGTTACCATAAGGGTATTTATAAATCAGTAAGAAAACTAAGTGATTTTGAAGGACACCTATAATATAAGTGTGCAAATGCCTTCCATTTTTGCAGTTTATTGCTGAATGTGATTAGAAAAGTTTCTTTTATTCTGAGTTTTTTTTGTTTTATGTTAGATAAAGGTAATCATGTTTATGGGAATTGACCTGTAGTATGCAACAAAATGAGAACGTGTGCAAAATTTCTGAAACAGAAAGCTTATTTTCTGTGTTCTTAATTTTAATATTGTTGCGCCCAATATTCAGATTATCGAGTTATTTCTTTTTTAGGTACTAAGGGCTCATGCAAAGTTGACTACTTTCTATGGAGCCTTTGGGCCAGAAAAATTCAGGTGTGTACATTCCTCATTTCTAATTTTCAGGTTATGAATTAGATTCAAATTTGGAATGTTGTTTAAAAAATGTAATATTGCTTTGATTGACTTTGTGTTTCTGGATGTTAAGTGACGGAAAATACTATTTTTCCTTCTAAACTTTAGGCACTCTCCTACATCGTCTATGGGAACTGAGACGTTTGAAGTAGAAATTTAAATGCACATACCTTTGCCTTCACAATTTCACTTCTGTAAATTGATCCTGCTAGATACACTAACATGCGCACTGAGTATTATTTGCATAAATGAGATATAATTACCTTAATGATTAGACAAGTTTATTTATCAGAAAAATTAACATTGAAGGGAAGCTTTATTTTTTTCTTCATGGCTAGTCAGTTATCCCAGTACTATCATTAAACCATCCACCCTTTCACTGCTGATCATGATGTTACCTTTATCATAATGTGAAAAATCTGGTATGTGTTTATCTGTCTCTGGACTATAATTGTATCCAGTTGATCTTACTCCCTATTTGTTCACCAGTATCAAATAGTTTTATTGATGTAACTTTAAAATGTTCTCTTTTCTGGCAGGCCAACCTACTATACTTTTCTTATGTTTCAGAATTTAAGAGACTATTCTCTCATGTTTGTTTTTCTATATGACATTTGCAATCAGAATCAGCTTGCCCAGTTTAAAGAAATCTTACTTTTAATTGGGATTGTTTTTTAAATTGGGAATGTGCTGAACCTAGGATTAATCTGACAAGAACAAGCATCTTTACAATACTGAATCTTCCTATTTAAGGACACCATGTGTCTTCCTATTCCTTCTATCCTTTTTTTTATGGTCTATACTCATTTGTCTCATATAGATTTTGTACATTTTTTTGTCAATTTTTGTTTTCCTCTTTTCCTACTTTATAAATGGACTTTCCTAAATCATATTTGTGAAAGGATATAGAGAGTTACTGATTTTTTAAAATTAATTGTTAACCAGCTACCTTACTGAATTCCTTTATTATTCAGTTATTTTTCAACTGAATTTAATTTTTTCCAAGTTTATAATTATATATTCAAATAATGCTAATTTTGCCTCATATTCTCATTATTTTCTTTGCCTAATTTCATTGACTAGTGCTTATAGAAGGATATTAAATAATATTGGCAATAAGCATTCTTCTCTTGTTCTTGGTGATAATGGAAATGCTTATTTTATCATTTAAGCATGATACAGGCTTTTAGGGGTTTTGTCTTTTTATAATTTTAAGGAAGTAATAGTCATCAGCTATATCTGAGCTTTATCAGGACTGAGTGGTCATTGCAGCATTGCTGATTATAGCAAAAGATTGGAAATTTTCAACTGCAGGACAAGATAAATAAAGTATAGTAAACCTGTGCCATGGAATAATATGTAATCCTTAAAAAGAAAAACATTCATGTGTCCTGATTTGGTACAAACACTTTGATAATATAAAATCTTTTAATTTTTTTTAATTTTACTATCATTAATATACAATTACATGAACAACATTATGGTTACTAGACTCCCCCTATTATCAAGTCCCCACTACATAACCCATTACAGTCACTGTCTATCAGTGTGGTAAGATGCTATAGAATCACTACTTGTCTTCTCTGTGTTGTACAGCCCTCCCTGTGCCCACCCCCCACATTATGTCTGCTAATTGTAATGCCCCTTTTTCCCCCTTATCCCTCCCTTCCCACCCATCCTCCCAATCCCTTTCCCTTTGATAACTGTTAGTACATTCTTGGGTTCTGTGAATCTGCTGCTGTTTTGTTCCTTCAGTTTTTTCTTTGTTCTTATACTCCACAGATGAGTGAAATCATTTGGTACTTGTCTTTCTCCGCCTGGCTTATTTCACTGAGCATAATAACCTCTAGCTCCATCCATGTTGTTGCAAATGGTAGGATTTGTTTTCTTCTTATAGCTGAATAACATTCCACTGTGTATACATACCACATCTTCTTTATCCGTTCATCTACTGATGGACACTTAGCTTGCTTCCATTTCTTGGCTATTGTAAATAGTCCTGCAATAAACATAGGGGTGCATATGTCTTTTTGAACCTGGGCTGCTGCATTCTTAGGGTAAATTCCTAGGAGTGGGATTCCTGGGTCAAATGGTATTTCCATTTTTAGTTTTTTGAGGAACCTCCATACTGCTTTCCACAATGGTTGAACTATTTTACATTCCCACCAGCAGTGTAGAAGGGTTCCCCTTTCTCCACATCCTCACCAACATTTATTGTTGTTTGTCTTTTGGATGTTGGCTATCCTAACTGGTGTGAGGTGATATCTCATTGTGGTTTCAATTTGCCTTTCTCTGATGATTAGCGATGTGGAGCATCTTTTCATGTGCCTATTGGCCATCTGAATTTCTCCTTTGGAGAAGTGTCTGTTCAGATCCTCTGCCCATTTTTTAATTGGCTTATTTGCTTTTTGTTTGTTGAGGTGCATGAGCTCTATATAATTTGGATGTCAACCCTGTATCAGGTATGTCATTTATGAATGTATTTTCCCATACTGTAGGCTGTCTTTTTGTTCTACTGATGGTGTCCTTTGCTGTACAGAAGCTTTTTAGTTTGATATGGTCCCACTTGTTCATTTTTGCTTTTGTTTCCCTTGCCGGGGAGATATGTTCATGAAGATGTTGCTCATATTTATGTCCAAGAGATTTTTACCTATGTTTTTTTCTAAGAGTTTTATGGTTTCATGACTTACATTTAAGTCTTTGATCCATTTTGAGTTTACTTTTGTATATGAGGTTAGACAGTAATCCAGTGTCATTACATGTAGCTGTCTAGTTTTGCTAACACCAGCTGTTGAAGAGGCTATCATTTCCCCATTGTATATCCATGGCTCCTTTATTGTATATTAATTGACCATATATGCTTGGGTTTATATCTTGGCTCTCTAGTCTGTTCCATTGGTCTATGGCTCTGTTCTTGTGCCAGTACCAAATTGTCTTGATTACTGTGGCTTTGTAGTAGAGCTTGAAGTTGAGGAGTAATTCTCCCCGCTTTATTCTTCCTTTTCAGGATTGCTTTGGCTATTTGGGGTCTTTTGTGGTTCCATATGAATTTTAGAACTATTTGCTCTAGTTCATTGAAGAATGCTGTTGATATTTTGATAGGGATTGCACTGAACCTGTAGATTGCTTTAGGCAGGATGGCCATTTTGACAATATTAATTCTTCCTATCCATGAGCATGGGATGTGTTTCCATTTGTTGGTATCTTCTTTAATTTCTCTCATGAGTGTCTTGTAGTTTTCAGAGTGAAGGCCTTTTACTTCCTTGGTTAGGTTTATTCCTAGGTATTTTATTCTTTTTGATGCAACTGTGAATGGAATTGTTTTCCTCATTTCTCTTTCTGGTAGTTCATCAGTAGTGTATCAGAATGCAACAGATTTCTGTGTATTACTTTTGTATCCCACAACCTTGCTGAATTCAGATATTAGATCTAGTAGTTTTGGAGTGGATTCCTTAAGGTTTTTTATATACAATATCATGTCATCTGCAAACAGGGACAGTTTGACTTCTTCCGTACCAATCTTGATGCATTTTATTTCTTTGTGTTGTCTAATTGCCATGGCTAGGACCTCCAGTACTATGTTGAATAAAAGTGGGGAGAGTGGGCATCCTTGTCTTGTTCCCAGTCTTAAGGGAAAAGCTTTCAGCTTCTTGCTGTTAAGTATAATGTTGACTGTGGGTTTGTCATATATGGCCTTTATTATGTTGAGGTACTTGCCCTCTATACCCACTTTGTTGAGAGTTTTTATCATGAATGGATGTTGAATTTTGTCAAATGCTTTTTCAGCACTACGGAGATAATCATGTGGTTTTTATCCTTTTTGTTGATGTGGTGGATGATGTTGATGGATTTTTGAATGTTGTACCATCCTTGCATCCCTGGGATGAATCCCACGTGATCATGATGGATGATCTTTTTGATGTATTTTTGAGTTTGGTTTGCTAATATTTTGTTGAGTATTTTTGCATCTATGTTTATCAGGGATATTGGTCTGTAATTTTCTTTTTTTGCTGTGTCTTTGGCTGGTTTTGATATTAGAGTGATGTTGGCCTCATAGAATAAGTTTGGGAGTATTCCCTCCTCTTCTATTTTTTGGAAAACTATAAGGAGGATGCATTTTAGGTCTTCACTAAATGTTTGATAAAATTCAGCAATGAAACCATCTGGTCCAGGTATTTTGTTCTTAGGTAGTTTTTTTATTACCAATTCAATTTCCTTGCTGGTAATTGGTTTGTTCAGATTTTCTGTTTCTTCCTTGATCAGTCTTGGAAGGTTGTATTTTTCTAGAAAGTTGTCCATTTCTTCTAGGCTATCCAGTTTGTTAGCATATAATTTTTTGTAGTATTCTCTCATAATTCTTTGTATTTCTATGATGTGCATAGTGATTTTTCCTTTCTCTTTTCTGATTCTGTTTATGTGTGTAGACTCTCTTTTTTTCTTGATAAGTCTGGCTAGGGGTTTATCTATTTTGCTTATTTTCTTCAAAGAACCAGCTCCTGCTTTCATTGATTCTATTGTTTTATTTGTCTCGATTTTATTACTTTGGGCCTCATTTGTTTTTCCTTTTCTAGTTTTGTTCATTGTGATTTTAGACTGTTCATTTGGGTTTGTTCTTCTTTCCTTAGGTAGCCTGTAGTGCAATATACTTCCCTCTTAGCATGGCCTTCATTGTGTCCCACAGATTTTGCGGTGTTGAATTATTGTTGTCATTTGTCTTCATATATTGCTTGATCTCTATTTTTATTTGGTCCTTGATCCATTGGTTATTTAGGAGCATGTTATTAAGCCTCCATGTGTTTGTGGAATTTTTCGTGTCCTTTGTGTAATTTATTTCTAGTTTCATACCTTTGTGATCTGAGAAACTGGTTGGTACAATTTTAATCTTTTTGAATTTACTGAGGCTCATTTTGTGGCCTAGTATATGATCTATTCTTGAAAATGTTCTGTGTGCACTTGAGAAGAATGTGTGTCCTGTTGTTTTTAGATGAAGTGTTCTGTAGATGTCCGTTAGGTTCATCTGTTCTAATACATTGTTCACTGCCTCTGTCTCTTTACTTGTTTTCTGTCTAGTTGGTCTGTCCTTTGGAGTGAGTGGTGTGTTGGAGTCTCCTAAAATGAATGCATTGCATTCTGTTTCCACCTTTAGTTCTGTTAATATTTGTTTCACATATGTATGTGATCCTGTGATGGGTGCATAGATATTTATAGTAGTTATATCCTCTTGTTGGACTGACCCCTTTATCGTTATGTAATGTCCTTTTTTGTCCCTTGTGACTTTCTTTGTTTTGAAGTCTAATTTGTCTGATACAAGTACTGCAACTCCTGCTTTTTTCTCCCTATTAGTTGCATGAAATATCTTTTTCCATCCCTTTACTTTCAATCTGTGTATGTCTTTGGGTTTGAAGTGAGTCTCTTGTAGGCAGCATATAGATGGGTCTTGTTTTTTATCCATTCAGTGACTCTGTGTCTTTTGATTGGTGCATTCAGACCATTTACATTGAAGGTGATTATCAATAAGTATGTACTTATTCCCATTGCAGGCTTTAGATTCATGGTTACCAAAGGTTCAAGGGTAATTTCCTTACTATCAGTCTAATTTAACTCTCTTTGTATGCTATTACAAACATAACGTCAAGGTTCTTTTTTTTTTCCTCCTCCTTTTTCTTCCTCCTCTATTCTTTATATGTCAGGTATCATATTCTGTATTCTTTGTCTATCCCTTGATTGACTTTGCGGTTAGTTGATTTGATTTTGCATCTGCTTTGTAATTAATTGTTCTACTTTGCTGTGGTCTTATTTCTCCTGGTGACATCTATTTAGCCGTAGGAATACTTCCATCTATAGCAGTCCCTCCAAAATGCATTGCAGAGGTGGTTTGTGGGAGCTAAATTCTCTCAGTTTTTGCTTATCTGAAAATTGTTTAATCCCTCCTTCAAATTTAAATGATAACCTTGCCAGGTAGAATATTCTTGGTTTGACGTCCTTCTGCTTCATTGCGTTAAGTATATCATGCCACTCCCTTCTGGCCTGTAAGGTTTCTCTTGAGAAATCTGATGATAGCCTTATGGGTTTTCCTTTGTATGTGATCTTTTTGCTCTCTGTAGCTGCTTTTAAAAGTCTGTCTTTATCCTTGATCTTTGCCATTTTGATTATTATATGTCTTGATGTTGTCTTGGGTCCCTTGTGTTTGGAGATCTGTCAACCACCATAGCTTGGGAGACTATCTCCTTCCCCAGATTGGGGAAGTTTTCAGCAATTACCTCCTCAATGACACTTTCTATCCCTCTGTCTGTCTTTTCTTCTTCTGGTACCCGTATAATGCAGATATTGTTCCATTTGGATTGGTCACACAGTTCTCTCAATATTCTTTGATTCTTAGAGATCCTTTTTTCTCTCTGTGCCTCAGCTTCTTTGTATTCCTCTTCTCTAATTTCTATTCCATTTACTATCTCTTCTACTACATCTAATCTGCTTTTAAATCCCTCCATTGTATGTTTCATTTCAGATATGGAATTTCTTAATGATTGAATCTCCAAATTAAATTTGTCCCTGAGTTCTTGAATATTTTTCTGTATCTCCATGAGCATGTTTATGATTTGTATTTTAAACTCTCTTTCAGGAAAATTGGTGAGTTCAGTTTCACTTGGCCCTTTTTCTGGAGTTTGTGAGATTTTGGTCTGAACCAGGTTCCTTTGACATTTTATAATTCTATGTTGTGCCCCCTAGTGCCCAGAAGCTCTAGTTTCTGGAACTGCCCAGCCCCTAGAGTGAGGTTGGGAGTTGTCAGGGAGCAGCACTGGTGCCTGGGGGGAGGAAAGAGCTGTTTCCTGACTCCCAGCTGCAGTGCCAGTCTCCAGTATCAGAGCCAGTGGGCTGAGCACAGAGCCTCTGTGCTTGGCGTCTCTAGCTGCTGTAGGCGGGGCCTCCCTCTGGCTGCCTGACACCCGCGCAGTGACTGTGGTTTTGCAAGCAGGTGCCAGCAGGCCAGGGGGAAGATGCAGCAGGCTGTGTGTCACAGTGGGGGTCCTTGGAGCTGAGTAGCCAGCCAGGGGGATGGTGTGCCTGAAGCTTCTGAAAGTTCCCAACCTGCTGGGCTGAGTGTGCCCAGACAATCTTGTCCACCTATCCCTTCTCCCACATAGCAAGCTCCGTGCAAACCCCACCCCTTAAGCAGCCCTCTCACTGCTAGGAAGCCTCTCAGACCACCTGCCTTTCCTTTGTCCCAGAGCGGTCGGATGTGGATCCCCATCCTCCACAAACAGCTGGAATCTCAGTCTCTCAAGTATTCTGCCTGTCCCAGCTCCCCAACCCCACCAACCTCCAGAGCACCACTGTAGGTTTGTGTTTCAAAGCAGACCTCCAGGGTTGGGTGTTCAGCAGTTCTAGTCTTCCACCCCCTCCCCGCTCCATTTCTCTTCCTCCCGTTGGTGAGCTGGGGTGAGGGAAGGGCTTGGGTCCCGCCAGATCAAGGCCATCTTACGTTACCCTGTTTCATGAGGTCTGCTCTGTTTGTGAGTTCTGTATGCAGTCTGGTGCAGCCTTCTTTCCTGTTGCTGTTTTAGAGCTAGTTGTATTAACTATATTTTCCCACTATATGTGGTTTTGGGAGAAATTCTCTTTCTCACCTCTCACACCACAATCTTGAATCAATAATATAAGATCTTTTAAGTACAGTTAGTATATATAGAAAACCCTCATTCGTTTAAAAATTAAAAATGGTTGCTTTTACGTGTGATTGTTTCAGGAAGTCCCTACAAGAGTAGATATGGCCTCTGGGGGAAGTGACAGGAGTTCCATAGGTCTAAGATAAGAAGGAAACTTACTTTTCACTTTATAAGTTTTGGAACTTTTTTACCTCCTTGAATATAAAAAAAAATTAAAATGATAATGATTTCTATTTGAAACATACAGTCTTAATTTTTTTTTTTTCAACTACTAACTTTTTTCTTCTCTTCGACTTTGCAGTGGTAGTTCTTGGATTGAATTTCTGAATAATGAAGATGACCTTAAGGATATTTTTTTGCAGCTGAGAGAAGGAAACCTTGTTTGTGCCCAGTACCTGTGGCTTCGGCACCGGGTATTATGTTTTGCGTTTTTCCCTTAATGGCTTTGTGGCCCCTGAGATAGGTGACTAAATCAGTGTTGAAAACTAAAAGAGTGGCGAGTGTGTTTGGGTATTGGAATTCAGACTGTTTGGTAAAAATCTGATCTGTCTCACAGAAAATTGTCCTCTGATAATACTAAACTAGAGAAAACACTATAAAGATCCAATAGAAAAATATTTGATTTCATCATTTAGAGTCTAGTTCCCAAACCTGCTCAAAAGGCAACATTTTATTAACTGATTTATTGATGGACTTTTTTTTTTTTAACATTTTTATTAGTGGAATAAATTAAGTTTCTACCACCAAATAAACCTGCTGAAAGTTTACCCAAAACATTTCAGTTTTCAAAGCCTTCAGGATTCAGAATTGCAAATAAGAGATTATGGGTCTGAAATACCTGCCAAGTCCCCACAGTCCCTTCGTGGGCTTTCTTATGTAGGATTGGTGGAAAGGGTTTTCCTATTGCAGCTCAGAGTGTGGTAAAGGATTGGCCATTAAAATCACTGCTCTGAATCCCCTGGGTGTTGATGTGTAATGTTTGGCCCAAAAAGCAGTACCTTGGTATGATGCCATTAACTTAATTGCTTGTTAAGATTTGTACTATCATTTCCAGTTAAGTTTTCCTTCAGTCACCTCTGCCGGCTCCTGTGCCACCTAATTTATTAATTGGTATTTGCTGCCATGAGATGTCATGAAATTTATGGCTCTTAACTTGATTTGTTTATATAGAGTAAATCACCTGTAGTGCTTACTATTCATTAGTAAAATATTTGTTGAAATGACTTCCTAATAATCTTTTTCTTTTGAGAGGCTGTCAGTTTAAACTTTTCAGGTAAATCTTAATTTCTCTGAATGATTAGGCAAACTTAGAAAGCAGATTTGATGTGAAAATGCTTGAGAACTTGCTCAACTCAATTTCTACACCAGTCTCTCTGCAAAAGCTTTGTCCATGGCTTAAAAATGATGTGATCCCATATGTGAGAAGGACTGTACCTGAAGGACAGGCAAGTGCCTTCAATATTTCTGCTCTTGATGCCTCAGTTTTGTTTTTTATGTTATATCATTGAAGAATATGTCATGTTAATACCAGTTAGTTCATTTTAGTATCTTTTTTGAATTACTATCATGGAGACTTTAAATCAATCCATTGATTGTCAGGCATTTCATTTTTAAATGATTTTATCTATTTCAGAAAATTCTTGCAAAATGGTTGGAGCAAGCAGCCAGGAACCTTGAATTAACTGATAAGGTAATACTAGTATAAATAGCACCAAAAAGATACTTCAAACACTCCAAGTGGCATAAAACATTGTTTTTAATTGTCTCTAATATTTTTAAAGGCAAACTGGCCAGAAAATGGACTTCAGCTTGCAGAAGTATTTTTTACAGCAGAAGAACCAGATGAGTTGGTATTAGCATCCTCTTGGCATTGGATTTCCATGGTATGATACAGGAATTGAATTTTTTTTTAGGAATAAAATACTCTGTTTATATTAGAATGTTTGTCTACATGTACTTAGAAATATATCCACTTAAACTTTCTGTTTTATATTTTTTACTTTTGTTGTGTACTTTTAAAGTGCACAAAAAGGAAAATTTGTTTTTTTTCTTTCTGATATTTGTTACTTCAACCTATTTTAAGTGCACTGTTGTTCTTTATTGAACTAAACAAAAGGAAAACTATATGTAAACATACTCCTAAGTAGTATAATTGCGATTTTCTGCATTAGCAGCATTTCTCTGTCCTTTAAAACTTAATAGTGTGTTAGGATTAGTTTTAAAAGGCTACATCAGTCAGGTTTACTTCTTTTTTTTTTTCAGTTTTGAGATGGGTTTTTTTTTGTTTTTTTTTTTGAGAGGGAATCTCTCATATTTATTGATCAAATGGTTGTTAACAACAATAAAATTCTGTATAGGGGAGTCAATGTTCAATGCACAATCATTAATCCATCTCAAGCCTAATTCTCGTCAGTCTCCAATCTTCTGAAGCATAACAAACAAGTTCTTAC